AAAATTATAAACAATTGTTCTTTTTTCTGTGTTAATAGAATGGTCAGAGTACAAGCAAAATTGGAGAAAGCTGCCAAATGTCTGGAATATTTCTCAACACAACAGTGGCGCTTCTCAGATGAAAATGTTCGCCACTTAAATTCTATGCTCAGCATTGAAGATCGTAACACATTTATGTTTGATGTTCGTCAAATTAATTGGACACAATATCTCGAAAGCTATGTGCTTGGCATCCGGCAGTTCATCTTCAAAGAGCATCCCAGCTCAATACCCAAAACTCGAAAGCAGTTGACAAGGTCAGTTTAGCTAGCTTGTCATATCCTTTCTGCTACCCTTTGTGACATCCTGCCCAGTTGTTAAAACTTCTTAATGTAAAATTTCAGATTGCTGTGGCTTCATCGGTTTTCAAGAGTTTTGGGAATTATTCTGATGTGGAGGGCCCTAATGTTGCGTTCAACTGCTGCCCGACGACTGTGGTGCATTCTCCTCGACATTATGGTCCGTATGGCAAGAATGATACCATATGTTTGACATGTTTTGGACATCAACCACAGAGTACATCAAGACGTACTGGCACTTGTCAAATGGGAAAAGACATTTACTATGCAGTACAAGTGCTCATTATTGTTATGAGGCATGGACCTAGGCAATTTGATAGAAGTGATCACATTAGGAATGCGTTTCTGTTTTGAGCCATGTGCTCAGTGCTCAGAACTTGTTCAGTGCTGTTTTTAGTTCATGTAGTGCTGTACAAAACTGTTCAGTACTGCATACCTCAAAGCCCTGTGAACATCTACGTGGCTCATGTGCAATTGTGTCCAAAGGCTTGTATGTCGGGCAGATAGCTTTGTTTGAAAATTTTCTCGTTGTTTATTTATTGATAAATGAGCTTTTTTGAGTATTTTGTCTGAAAAATACTGTGTGCTTTCCGAGCATCACTTTTGTTACTACACATGCTGTGTTTTAGTCTATATCTCTGCTGTTGTGAACGGAGTAAAGTAGGGGCAATATTTTAGTAGCTTCAATATATGAAGTGTGCCAACCGTCCCCCTCATTACCATTTCATCACTCAAGCGTACTGCTGCGGGTCACTTTGGTGATGATTCTGGCTTACTGGCTGAGAGCTTAACATATGAATGCCTACTTGTTTTCTTCTCTGAAGCCTCAGCCTGACAGCTATGTTGCCCATTGACTGCCCATGTTGTTGTTTTGATGGAGAACATCACTCTCATTGTACTTGCGTGATATTGTTTTCAAAATATTACCTTAGTGCAAGTGTTCTGAGTAAATGGCGGCATTGTTGGGGACTTGTTTTTACTCTGCTGTTGGTGGTCACAATTGTGTCACATGCTCACATTTTTGTGTCTACGTTCCTGGTAATGAGAAAATGACGAGTGCCTGTATGTGTTTGTTATGTGCATCCAAAATATTTGTGTACATGTGTGTGAAAATTTGTGTAATCATCAATTTTGCTAGTCCCCATCGCAGCTCAAATTCAGTGCAAGACTAAACAAAAAGATTTTGAAAAATTAATGGGAATAATTTTTATTTGGGAAATTTTAAGTTGGATTGATTTGAAAAGAAATCACGCTGGAAAAC